TGTTCCATGAGAGAACTAAACACATTGAGATTGATTGTCACTTCGTCAGAGAAAAGATACTTTAAGGAGAGATTGCTACAAAGTTTAGGAGGTCGAATGATCAACTTGCAGATATTTTCACCAAGTCTCTCACTGGTCCTCGTATTGGTTATATATGTAACAAGCTCGGCACATATGATTTGTATGTACCTGCTTGAGGGGAGTGTTAGTTTACAACATGTATATAGTGTAGTATTGTCCCACATTGGTAGAAGAATAGTATGTCCTTGTATAGTATAGCTATAAATAAGGACCTTTTGTATTGTATTGTTCATCTAATATCAATAACATATTTTCTCCCGTGCCTTCTCACATATTGCGGATGTTATTTGTGGACAAAATTGTCCTTTAAGCTGTTGATAGAATACTTCTTGATTACCCTGTGAGTTCAAGCTATTTAATAACATCTATTGTGCAGTTCAAGCTTCTTGGATTCGATCGTATTTCATCTTGCTGTTATTCCTACTTGTTGCAATTACCTTTTCTTTTTCAGTCGTTATCTAGCCGAGGGTCTATCAGAAACAGCCTCTCTGCCCTTCCAGGGGTAAGGGTAAGGCTGCGTACATCTTACCCTCCCCGGACCCCACTTGTGGGAAACTACTGGTATGTTGTTGTATTGTGCAGTTGTTTGATAAAATAGGTTCCAGAAATCAGGAGATAACATCAGAAAAGAATATCAACAGAGCTAAAATGTCTAAGTCAAGCTTTTCCTATCCACTTAACAAGAACCAGAAAGATATAATTTCTTGCAGCCCTTTTTCCTCCCTTTTCGATCTTGATATTTAACCTATTTTACGTTTTTAAAAATTTCCGTCCAGCATGCAAATCAGTCTATCAGCATTACGGTAGGCTGCCTACATCACACCCTTGAGGTGCAGCCCTTCCCCGGACATTGCGTGAACTCAGGATGCTTTGTGCACTGGCGGCCCTTTTTTTCATGCAAATCAGTCTAGCTATTTCAACAAGGAAATCTTCTCTTTACAATCCTTAACTAAAAAATGTATTCAAGGTGAAAACAAGTAGCCAACACGTGAAATTGGGATTCTCTCCTACAATATTTTGTTCTGATAAGCAAATAATTTTACAGAAGAAGCACTAAGGGAAAACCATCCATGTACATCGAACTAAAAATTTCTTTTTTTTTTTTGAGAAGAGGTAAGTATACATCGAACTATACTAAGACCCACACTCAAACAACATAAAGTTTCTCCCCAAAAGACAATTTCCTTCAAACTCTTGAAGCGAAAGATGGATCATAACCATGGATCTTTAAATGTTGTACTTTCAACATATAGCATAGTAGAGGTGTCCGCAAAGCTTGGACTACACTGCACAGGAACTTATCATGCGTAACTTCAGTACATAAGGAGAAAAAAGAATAATTAGAAAATAAAAGGAGGGAAATAGTTTATTAATGTATCTCAACAGGCAAAGGCTCTAAAGACTCATGAGGCCACAAGCAGGCCAATTAAGTAAAAGTGAAAAACATATTATAAAGCAGAGTTCAAAAGCACTAAAGCTGGATAAACAATATTCTGTCATCAACTCACTATTCATGGTTGTTGATAAAATATCAAGATGGCATGAATCTGATCTACATGATTATTCGGAGCTTAAATCTAAAACCTTAAGAGTGAAAATTACCTATATGGATAAGAATCCCACCACATACAGTTGACTGATGTATCATTGATGGGCAAAAGCTGAACCAAATGAAAGCCAGATTCAACGGCCCAATCTACAAGTAACTTCAGGTCAAGAAACTCCCCAACTCCAAGATCAGCCTCTGATCGTACAGAAAACATGGGTATTGCGACACCCGCACCCCTCCAAGGCATTTCCTGATAATAGCACAGGTTGAGATCTTTCTTTTCAGCTTATACTCAGTATCAGATTGAGGAGCATAGCAGGCCACTGATTATATCTTGTTGCTGACTTACCCGCATTAAGCCATCTGAAAGAAGTACAAATCTAGATTCACCTGTTGCAACATCAACAGAAAGCTCTCGACTTGCACCACATTCCACAGAGGTTCCAGCCTTACCGTATTTACAATATTTGTATGTTTAAAGTATTAAGGATGAAAGCAAGTAAGGGGAAGAAATTACTATCAAGTTTATGACAAAATGGAACGACATTTAGCCTACAACTCAGCAGGCAAAGGATATTTTAAAGGAAAGTCATCTTTTCCCATAATGCAATCTGCCTGCCAAAATGAATCACCAGCATACGCGAGCTTAAGGCCATCCTGAATCTTCCATTGCCCAAGTTTTAAGGAGCTACCAATCACATAAATCTACAGGATAACATGTATGTCAGGTCTGACTTCAAGATGGATTGCAAGGATATTATTGACCACATATACAAGCAAACATATAGCAAAGGTTGTTCTGTGAAAAGAGATCTTACAGATGTTCCTTCCTCTAAATAGGGGCAGCAGATTCTGAATTGCAGAACTGAACCTGTTTCAACAGTAATTTTAGAAAGCACATTCCAAATAACAATGTTTCATAAATAGAGAATCAGACAGAGAGAAAATTACCATCCTGGTCAGACTTATTCTGAGTTATCCCCAGGGGCCTTTCAACACCCAAACTCCAACTTCTCCCAAAAATGACATCCTTAAATGCACTGCTAAAAGGGATATTGTCAGAACCAGTCTGCAATAGAAGAAAGAGTATAAGTTGTTGGAGCGAAGAGGCAAAACTAATAGGACATTGTTGAAATCGGTAGTTGCTTACAAAGAAAAATCAAATACATAAGAAGCATGTTTGAGGTCATGTTGCAGAAATTATTGACAATCATGCCAGTTATCAACAATAAAAAGTATTAAGATAGAAAAGAACATTTGTAGAGTATTCATAGCTTATAGCTTCTTCATACACTCATGTCTGACTAAAGCACATTTTTTCAAATTGTCACTACTTATATAAAGAGTCAAACAGCTTACTAATCTGCCCCAAAAATTATGTGGTAAAGATCATTCGGCATCTAAAGCTAATGACCATTTTGTTATCAATGATAATGAGATTTTTCTTACCAGGCATAGTTTAGTTCATATTATGTGTCTTTGACAACTAAAATACAAGCGGAAGAGTTGTACAGCGTAAGAGAGAATTTTAACAGCAACTCGCATACCTTCCTTTCTCATAATTAAGTTCGTCCAGGGGACATGCATGCTAGGTAGTGTAGTATTCACAAAACAGTATGGAAAAGAGAAGCAACTAAAATTAGCACCTGCCAAAGATCATGAAGTTCTAACAACTGCCCATCCTGAAGCCCATCAGGCAGCAACAGTTTCCTTTTCTTTCCAACCTCCCATCGCAGGATATTTCTTGTATCATCCACCACATAGTAACTGTACTCGCTTTGGAATCCAGGAGGAACTGGAATGCTTCCAGACCATATCAGCTCTTCCCCTTGGTGAGAAGGCTTCAATAATAGACCCTTTTTCACATTCCATGAACCAAGCAACGCATCTGAACCGCATATCAGAAGATGCTGCCCCCACTGAGTATAATATGGGATTCTGAAGCTCACCTTCCTTGACTTCAAAGGCTTGTTCCCAGTAAACAACCCCAAATTCACCATCTTAAATTGAAGAGGAACTCCTCAAAATCTAGCAAAACCAATTAATTAGCGCGTGAAAATTCTACATATAATTCATGAACGATGTCAACAGCTCTCAGAGTAGAGATTCAATTTGCATAAATGGTAACCATATAGTACTCAAAATGTATGACATACTTTCGGACTCCCTCCATTGAACTTCCAAGAATAAAATCCTAGGCTAATTGGAATTTAATCTTTATAAAAAATGGAACACCTAACAGAACAATCATTTAAAACGAAGAATATGGTTTTAGGAAGTTCATAATGCAAGATTAAATTCAAATCACATACTTACAAAATATCTACTATTAAATGCATTTTGCCATAAATATCAACTGTAGTACCACAACTTTAACCAATCAAACCCAATTGAAAGAAAAACTCAGCAGTTACCTTCAGTAAAACGGGCAAATTCTATCAATATTTGAATTCTGAGCTGATTAAAACTTAATGTTTGTACTAAGTCTAGACTCACCTAACAGAAAAGTCCATTAATCATTAGAGAAGAATGTATTATTATTGGTAGTACAAATTTATAACATTGACAATAACTATACAATTACTTGAATCAGTGAAAAGCCAAATCATAAACAATTCAGTAGTTAACTGGGAAAGAGCTCAACTGTTACCTTTAGTCCAATGAAGTATCCAATTCTGAAGAGGATGAATTTGTTAAAGAAGATGAGGAGAAAAGGAATTAGAAAGCGGCGGTTCTCTTCCTCTGAAGGAAAAATACAAGAAGGACTCCAAAGAATATCTTTAGATTGTATGAGAGATTTTTTATTGGAATAGTAATAAAGTGAGTAGAAGCAGTGAGAAGGAGGGTAGTGTTCGTCTTTTAGTGAGAGCAAAGCAATTGAGTGGCCATTACTGTTGTGTGATGACGATTGACGATGACTTCTACGAATCCGTGAATTTTGGACGACGGATCTTCACTCCCTCACGATTCTTCTATTTTTTATTACAATAAATTTACTTCCATTTCTTTTCCCTTTTTCCTCATAGTTTATTTTTATTTTTCGTTATATCTGAGAGAGAAGGGGAAAGATTAATAAGAATCACATCTTTGCACGTTGCCGTTTGTAAGACATGCGTGTTAACAATTTAAGGCTGTCCGACGGGACGGGTGTCCAGTCTCGTCCCGTCCCACTTAATTCTAAACGAGATGATCCCATGTTAAACGGGACACGAGATGAGACGGGATGGTCATTTCGTTCCGTTTATTCCGTCTCATTTGTCCCGCGTCCTATTTTCTTTTGTGCATTATATACAATAAACTTATAATCCTGCTTTTTAAGGTTTTCCTAAGACCACGGTTAGAAATGATATTTTTAAATTTCAAACCAAATATCTTCAGTATATTCGTTATGTATTTTTTCACTTAGATTGTAAAGTGTCTATCACATCTGATATAAGTCGTAGTCGTAATGGTTGTGATTATTTAACTGTTACATGTCATTGGGTTGATCATCACTGGAACATGCAAAAACGTATTATTGGTTATAAATTTGTTGATTCAAAATACACTGGAGCATATATTGCAACTACTGTTCTACAAATTGTTGATTTTTATGGACTCATTGATAAAGTTTTAACTATCACCTTAGATAATGCTTCTACTAAGTGCTAACACAACGGCTGCAACTAGCTTAATGAAATGATTGCAAAGTTAATCCAACTTATGCATCGACCATTAATGAAATAATTGCAAAATTTAAAAAGTATTTTTTTCATATTCTCCAAGTTTATTTAATTTCTACTATACTTAACCCATCTTTAAAATTAAGAGGTGCAAATGGACTTGTTCGTAAAATTTATGAGAATTTAGCAATTCAAGAAAATGAACAACAATTTCTCGAAGACTGCCAAGCTAACATATATTCTTATGTTAAATCAATGTTTGATAAATATAAATCTATGGAAACAACAGGTGGTGAAACTACGGAAGAAGAAGAATACAATGAGATACTTAGCACTAGGAGCGATGACGGCATGGAACTCATGGAACATCAATTAACATTGCCAATTCCAGAACAATGTCCGAGAAAAATTATAGATAAGTTACAATGAAGTTATATAGGAGCTTACAAATATTAGTATGATAATTTGTAATTGGCTACTAAGAAGTCTAGTTCAAACAGAACCCTTCCTAGGAGGTGGCTGCGTAGATTAGGTGCTCTTCAAAAGAATTATATTTGTATGTGAGATTTGAAAGTTCTATTAATAAAATAAAAGGCTTTAAGCGTTGAATTTTTTTTATGAATTGTCTTACACTCTTACTTAGTTACTTAATAGCTTGAAATTATATTAAATAAATTATAACTCTATTATAAATTTATAATTACTAGAATATTTCATACAAGTCTATTTTTTTTAATATTTTATAATTCTTTATTTAGTTTCCTAATTTCTGTTTAATTTTTAAGTTTATTAAATAAGTCAAAAAACTAGTTGTTGCAAACTTTTAAAACTTAGTCATTGTCAAAAGAATAGTCGTTGCCAAACTCAATGCTTAAATAATTTTTTTTTTAAAACGGCACTTAAGGCCCGTCCGTCCCGGTCCCATCCCGTTTGTTAGCGGGACGGGATGGGCCTACCGTTTCGTCCCGTTTATCCCGTCCCGCCACCGTCCCGGCTAAATATCGTCATGTCCCGTCCCGTCCCGTCTCGTTGGGCAGCCATAGTTAACATCACAACTTGGTCTTAAATTACTAATGTGCACATGCTAGAATCTAGATTCTCCGTTTTTAATTAGATTTTCAATAACAGTGGATCATATGCAGATGATAAGGAACATTTTCAAAATTTTTACACGGTAGAACTCTTATAAAATAGTATTTATATTAGTGTTACCATATTTGGATTATTCCAATAATAGCAGATTCTAGCATATTTGAATAAAATACTAATATTTAATAGTAACTCATTTATTCTCTAACGCTTCCCGGAAACAAGGGATTATATTTAAATTATTAATATATTATTTCTCTTTCTATCTCATATCACTCCACTATGGACTCTCCTTGGAATTTCCAATCTTTCACTGCTTTTCTCTATTGCCTTTCCAAGTATCAAATTCCTTCTTTTAATTTTCACCCTTCCATTAGTTTGTCAATTTGTTCGATCTAATTTTTTATATTTTCTTGTGATTTGGTATGAATCTCAAAAGTTTAGAACTTGAGACAATGATGACGAAACATTTATATATGCAATCAAGCTATGAAAGCTTATCACATATATACCATGAACATATCTTTGTTATATCAAGTAAATATACACACAAAATAAACAAATACATATATACGGAATACCATCATTATACCATCTATATAATTATATATACACACTTTAACCGAAGCAACATCCATGCATTGATCTTTCTAAGAATATACCGTATTATTAATTATACATGTTTATTATTGTATAATTATATAAGATTTTTATTATACCAAACGTATAAATAATTTATAACGCATGTATACCATATATATATATATATATATATATATATATATATATATATATATATATATC